TGAAACCCTATGTTCCACTGGGAACGTAAAGGAATAAAAAAACCTTAACCAGCAGTAATGAAGTATGAAATCCAAAGAAACAATGGTAATGACTTTCGGGAAACATTACGCAAATCTTTTTGTAAGAGAATTACAGTGACCGACTTATTGACAGTTGACGGGAGTCTTGTGTTCCATTGAATTATTTCGCACCTTCCATTCATCCATCAAGGTATATATACATATATATGGTTCAGTGGTTAGGACTCTCGCCGACCATGCACATGGTCCGGGGTTCGATCCTCTGCCGATGCACACCTGATATCTATCGTCGGCCTGCAAAATTTGGGCTACCGATATCCATGCTGAAAATTCCATACTTGTACTGATAATACGGTGTGGCATCAACCTGTAATCAAAAATCAAAATCAAATCACCCTACTCGATCTATTCAAATAACTGGTTTGTTATCCAACGTGTCAATCAGTTAAATGGTGTGTATGGGAAGAGATAATTTTGATCAGTCATTGATATGGCCTGAAGAAATGTTGAGAATAAGATACCTAAATAGGCTTTCCTATCTACAATTGGGAAGCTAAAATAGACTGCCAGTGTTCCCTGATATTTTAGTGACTCTTCAAAAGGTCAATATATAATGCAACTTGTGTAGAGCATTGCTCATAACTTCTCTTCGTACTCTCAAGAGCCAGCTAATCGTGGGAATATCCCCTGTGGACAGGTGCAGAGGTGTTGAAATCAAGTTTTACTGCATCTTCATAATTTTTCATTAGTGGCCACCTGTATAATGCAACACTAGTATACTCCATCAGATTAGAAATCAAATAGTCCATTAAACAGTTGGGTTACGGTAGTCTTTTTTAGCCTGATGAGTAGACTTCTTTTTACTATAGTTTTCAGTATCGACTAGATAAATTGGCAACAATGGGAATAATGACACTATAAGAAGACATAGTTTATCTGAAACGTGTAATGTATTTGCGCAACACATTTCGGACATTCTGATCACACACATACTTGTCATACACAGTTTTATAGAATGCAAGGCATCAATCATTACAATAGAGGTCAGATTGTCTACAGGTCAAGGTCACAAGTAATGGGAGGGGAGATGAGGCAAAGGTGTGGGTAGGAAGGAAAAAACCAAACAAAGAAGGGGTTGAAAATATTATGAAGTAAATTGATCCTTGGTTCCAAATTGGATTACCAAGGCAGGTCTGGTCACCAAACAAAGACTCAAGGCGGCAATGAATAGAACTTACTATGCAGCTAAACTTATCTTCATAGAGAAAACAAGAACTATGCTGTCATGTAAACCCTCACAGTATCCGAACGATAGTGTCACATCCCATTGTGTTTATCAATTTATATGTATGTGTAAACACACGTAAATAGGGAGGACTCATCGGTCTCTGCAGGTTAGGGCCACAGAACATATTCCAAAGTGGCTGCAACAACAAATAAAATCGCCAGATACAACTGATCCCGGAAATAGATGTCCAACATCATCTATAGCGAAGCACATTATAGAGACGGATCATAAGGTTGATTTCAACAATGCCTTTAAGCCATATATAAAACAAGATTGGGTCACGTACTTAAATTCGTTGAAGCCTTGGCCATAAAAAGACTTCAACCTGTCTTATGTGTCCAAAAGTTATTTGTTATTACTTTAAACCTGCCTTGGTAATCCAATTTGGAATCAAGGATCAATTTACTTCATAATATTTTCAACCCCTTCTTTGTTTGGTTTTTTCCTTCCTACCCACACCTTTGCGTCATCTCCCTACCCATTATTTGTGACCTTGACCTGTAGACAATCTGACCTGTATTGTAATGATTGATGCCTGCCTTCTTGCATTCTATAAAACTGTGTATGACAAGTGTGTGTGATCAGAATGTCCGAAATGTGTTGCGCAAATACATTACACGTTTCAGATAAACTACATCTTTTTATTATGTTGTCGAAATTCATAAAGAGAACTAATCGCTTTAAATAATAACACTCTCAGCGGGATGCTGGTCTACCGGTTGGTCGCTTCTAAATAGAATGAAATGTGTCCTGAATCGCACTATTAGGTATAACAGAAGTAACCTTACGACATACTGCATTTTCCTCTGCCTAGTAATACACACATAAACAATCCAATAAGTCATTAACAGTTAACATAACCAATCAGAAACGCTAAGAGTAAACATATGCACAAAGTTGATAGTGTTGTCAATTGTACCTGTGAATTGTTACATTCGATGCATAAATGCATTTGTCCTAATAGTTACATGTATCTTAAATGTACGATTTGACGTGTAATTTTAGAAGTAGAAGAAAACTCTAGATTGGTCATTCAAAAAGTTCACCTTCCACGAAGCCTGACATTTTTACACATAAAATTTTGGAGTTTAACCACGCATTAGAATAATAGGCCTTTTTTTTATTTCCAATACTACTTAATTTAAACAATTGACGTAGGAATGAATATGGTAATAATTAATTAATATATCAGAATAGTCATAATCAATGGATATTTTTAGTATTATTTGAAATCATGCTTAGCTATTCATGCATTAACTACTTACAAGTAGTACATTCAAGACGACAGAATTACAATATTCTTTTACAATAATTTGAAATATCTGGATATATGTATTAGAATCTCCGTATAAAACACTGTCAATAATAAACTGAATTATTCCTATTTAAGAAATTCTTAGCAGTTCCCTTTGTTACAATTTTAATATTGAAGTGTTACTCGCGTATTTAATCTTCCAGAGCGTCTTGAAACCATGATGATTTGAACAATAAACATCAACAGTAAACCCTTATGAATATAAAGAAAGTAATACGGTAGTGTCTAGAAGTTTAAATGTTTCTAATGTTTCTAGTTAAGATTTCAACAAGTAACGGAATCAATCCGCATTTTTTTCAAAACTAAATTTCACAGTGTATAGTTAGATTTTTTTTAAACACTACTATAAATCATAGAATTTTACGAATTAACCATAAAAAGGGTGTGTACTGTACAGCTAATAACAATAAGTGCCATATTTGTGAAGAGTAATGAGAACAAAAAAAGGCTTATTACGATAACAGAGAAATTTTAACAACCACACAAGATTGAAACTTGGATGAAAAAGGATGAGAGGAATGAACAGGAGAGTTGCAGGTGTAAGTATAACAGAGATTTCTTTTAATAATAAGATGAGTGAGAGAACACCTAGATTTTTGGGAATTAAAACTGAACTGTGGCTCATTGGTTTAGGGGGTAGATTTCCAACCAGTGGGTAACGAGTTCGAATCCCGCTCCATCTACCAAGGTTTGGGCAAGCAGATACTATCACTAGCTTTCACACAATAGGCGTGGCTCATTACCAACTGTACGTAAATTTTAGTTGATGTGGAGTATATCGCATCACATCACAACGGCCATTACATTTGACACACTAAGTAACGTTATCAAGTATACAAAGGTTTATAATAGAGAATCAAAGCTCGAAAGACATTACAAAATTCCCGAGAAGAAGACTAAACCAAACTTTTACGTCATACTTTGATCTCATAAACTGCACAGCCTCAGTAAACAATGGAAAGACTTGGTTGCAGTTAATCCGCTGAAACACATTCACTAAAATGAAGTTAAAATAACCCTTCTTAGTCTCTTAGTGATTTTGAGAATAACGAAGGACTGAGATATTGAAACCCACCGGTTCGAATAAACATTCTAACTGAGAGAACTACAGACTACTCGCCTCGAGACTTGACAGTTTTCGATTTAATTCCTAACAAGATCTTAGGTGGACACATTTAAGCAGTTTCAGATAGAAAGGAAATATGGATAGTGTTATTAGAAGACAGAGATTATCTGAAAAATGTGATTTGCGCTATACATTTCGAACAATCTGATCACACATTTACTTGTCAAGTCGATATATATATAAAAAACTATAAATCAAACAAAGTGACAAAAAAGATTTAAGAATAATTAACGCCACGTTTGGTAATCCAATTAAATAAGGATTACCAAGGCAGATTAAGAGTAATAATAAACTGTTTTTGAACACACAGGGAGGGAGGGCTTAAGTTTATGAATAGCTATAGCCTCAGCGTATTTCAATAAGAGCCCTTGACCATTTTTATAGATAACCTTAAAGGCTGTGTTAACATCAATCTTATGGTTCATCTCGATTAGATGTTTGGCTGTAGACAAAGTTGGTAGTCTGCCACCTGTGTCTATTGATTTTTCACAATTCATTTGTCTTTCTAACCATTTTAGGGTATGCTCTCGAATGCTTCTTAGCTTTAAGTTATGCTTCCAACTGTCTATTTGTGAATCAAAATGTAATGGGTTACACAACAACCCTATCAAAAGTACAGTCCTGTCAAAGGACTTTTGAACCCTGATGTCCTCAACAAAAGAAAACAAAGTCGTCAACAGAAGTTACATCAGTCTTAAATAGCCAGTAATCGATGGAATTTCGATGTAAACGAAAAAAACTCATTTTACTTTGCCAACTGCACTCGCGATGCATGCGGGTTGATTGTAATGTGCAGTTATACCCTGCTGTAGTGTCAAAGTGCATAACATGATCACTGAGATAGAAAGAGATGTGGAAATCTGAACACGGGAACAATTTAATTGACTCTGGTATTTGTTAAGCGTACGGAGTTACTGTTAACTTTGGCATATAACACAGGAACAGGGTGGATGTATGCTTCAAGATAATTCAGAGCAAGCAAACCAGAATATCAAGTATCTATGGTCTATGGATCTGGAGCACATACAATGCTAGAGATTTTACATAATATTTGGTACTTTGGTATTTTACACAATTTCAACCCATTTCCGACATATTTGTACCAACTTCCATTCCCCTTTTAACTGATCTTATGCGACTAGTTCATTAAAAACAGTAGAAACTGCATTACCAATTTGTCATTTGATTGAGAAGTTAATAAGAGGAGTAGTCTGATAAATCACTGCATATACACAAATAGACAAACTTACTCTGTGGCTTGAAGACAATTTAGAAAATGTATGAACCACAGCTTTTAGGAGCCAGTCTTCTAGTTCCTTTTGATAGGTAAGTATTTGGTCTTCACTACTAGACACAAGGGAACTGCTGCTCACGTCTAGACTAGAAATCGTCTCCAACTCGGAAGCTGCTATACTTCGGTGATTCCTGTCAGATAAAAAAAAAGACCAGCAGAGGATGAAGTTAGGCAGTAGGTCTGATTTATTTATTTATTTAAACGCAGAAAAACCTGGTACAGTATGGCACCAAGAAAGATGCGCCACACAATAATAATAATAAAACAACATAGATTAAAAGTAAAAATATAAGTAGAAAACGGATAAAGAACTTCATCTGGAAGGAAAACAGTCATGTTTAACAAGTTCAAACAGTATTCGTTAACTATCATCAGGAAGCGAAGAAAGAAGGAAATCGCAACACGTTCGCCATTGATTACGATTCTTGGCCATATCCGATAACGTTTCGAGCCATCGATTCGAGCTATCTCGCAGACCCCAGCCAGGGAGTCGTGACACACCAACCGACGCTAATCTAGAACAAATATCTTTCATCCCACGACGTCACGTCATGGACTGACTACCCCTCCGCCTTTTCCATCCCGTCCCAGGGCTAGAGAACAGAGACCTGTACGGAAGCCTCTGGGATGACATTCGCAGCACATGTCCAAGCCACCGGAGCTGGTGTTTCCAGATGACGACACTCAATGAATGGTGATCTCCACTGTGTTCAAACACACGCCGCCGAACCTCAGAATTACTCACGCGATGATGCTATCGGACGCAAGCAATCCTGCAGAAACATCGATGATGGAACACACAGAGTCGCCGCACATCCTCAGCTCGGAGAGGCCAGGTTTCACAGGCGTAGAGCAAGGCAGCCCGCACCGAAGCATTGTATACCCGACCTTTGACAGCCAGGCTAATGTCGCGACGGCGCCAGAGGTGGCACAAGTTGATGTATGCCACCCTAGCCTTCATTATACGGTTGGAAATATCATCCGTCACCTCTCCCCCAGCACTCACACAACTACCCAGGTACACAAACTTATCAACAACTTCAAGCGGTTCACCCGCAAGAGTGAGTGCAGCTACAGGCTCCTGCCAATCTTGTAACAGTACTTTGCACTTAGACGGTGCAAAGCACATACCATACCGACCGATAACTGCTACCTTGCCGTGGTGGTCGGGCTTGAATGCCGCAGTGACCCAACAAGTTAAACTGGTTGGGACTCATGTTCCTGCAGGTCCTACCATGCCAGGAAGGTTGTTTGGATAGTGGTTAAACTAAAAGCAGTTACCAGGGGGTACGTGGGCTCCAGAATCCAATCGGATCAAATGGCGTACGAACCCATATGGGTCACCGGCAACCATGGGAACGCAGCACCTGACGCTGCTCCGCTGCCTTGCGGATTAGACTCCAAGTCAAAGGCTCGGGAGGTGGTCCCTTAAGAAAACCACCTGGGCACCCGGGCAGTATCTCAGCCCTCACACAATAAATGAAATAAAGCAACAAAATATCAGTGGAACTTATCGCGCGCTCGTAAAAATGCGTTCAAGCAATAATGATGTCTCAAGTGACACATCTCTTTCCAACCTTACTTTTATTTTTATACTTAGTTTCCTGTATTTTACATTTGCTCACCTTGACTTCTTAACCTTCGACAGCCTTTCGCAGTAGGTCTGAATTTAATTAGCACGAAAGAACTAAAAAATAAATTAGCCATATAAGGACTCGAGTCTTGCTTAGTATTTAATGTGTCCAACTATAAAAGTTTGCAAGTCACAACTCGTATGAAACATATGACAACAAAAGCAATAGGACAAAGGCTAAAAATCAGTCGTAAGTAGGTAGATACACAAAGTCTTGTCTTCATCAAGTTCTCCCATATCTTGTTGATCAGCTGTTTAGTGTAAAGAAGGTCTCACTAAATCACATTCAAAAAGACTTATTCCAATATCTTCTATATAGGCCTTCAGAAAGCTATTTGGTATAAGTTTTGTTTATGGTTACACATGCTTGCGATATAAATAAACGGTCAATAAATAAAGCCGACACAAACACTTATGTAACTGTTCAACACCACTACTGTTTTATATAGTTTATCCTTTAATTTCTTCGATTGGAATTTAACAGTAAGCTAACAACTTTAGAGGAATACGTTGTTCCCCATGTCTTCTTCATGTATTCTATGCTGTTAATAGCACTGCTTCATTCATCTATGGTGATTCTTTTAAAACTAGTTGTTGTAGTACATAGGAATAATACACTACGTTAGGTGCATGTAGGTGATTTGTCCATCAATTGGAGTTAAGTCTCCCAAAATAGGGTAAAATAACCTCGGGAAAAGGTTTACTTTGAAAAAAGTTGCTTTACGAGCATCAATCATAACACAGATTAGTTACCACCTAAATAAAACGACCTACTAAGAGAATTACGTATTTTTAAAACCAACAAAAGAAACAACGGTGGAGACCATGTAATTTTCGTACTGAATTCTTTCTTTCCAAATGTAAATAAAGCACAAAACCAGCCAGACTATGTGTAGATGAACTTTTTAAATTACTTGTCAATACAGAGTTAAAAATAAAGTGCATTTCAAAATTATCCCCTAAAAGGGTTATTTGATGCGTTTATAGACAACTCTTTAAGTGAAGAAATGAGTAATATGAAGCTTCAGCTTTGTCTTAAATACATTTATAAGCTATTTGTCATTTTTTCGATTTAGGCTTCATCATGGAAACATTCAACCAGCGTCTACATATTCTTTGTCTGCTTTTAGCAACTGTAAAGACATAATTAGTGTCGTATACGACCAATCTACTCTATTTTGTAAGCTTTCTTTAAGAGCTACGGGATACAGCAAGACTTGGTCACTTCTGTGCTATGTTAGACACTTTCAGTTTAATGATTATGCGGACACCAGACAAAAAATATAAGACCAGTAAGAGCAACACAGTTAGTACTAGTTTGGGCTAACATGAAATATATCACAACAAGTGTAAACAGTCAGGCTATGCATGCCTAAATGAATATCAATTCAAAAAGTGTAACCTAGATGATTTATGCAAAACCTCAACTGAAATGATTTTACGTGTTCAGTCATATTTTAAGTTGACAGCTTTCATGAGTCAATAAACTTTTAAAAAGTTCTTAAAAAACAAACTCACCCTACAGGGTTTTGTGTATTATTTAAGGAAGTAAGATTTCGAACATCCGAAGTCATTTAAATCCCATCTGAAATAAAGAGAAAACAAAGAACATAAAACACAGAAATATGGTGGAATCCACCGCATTGAAACCATCTACCTTCATAATACCCAATTTGTGGTGCATCTCTTGGCGTCCATGCTATAACATATTCGTTGTGAACAACAAATAATAGAACCTAATGAACTAAATAAGATTTAACATGCTTCTTATCTTATTACAGTATAGTGTTGAATTTATTTACCATCTTTAATGAACAATTGAGTGACAATGTAGATTCTATGTCCATTTGACTGACGAATCATGAACCAAGCAAAGAACCTAGTCACCCATTTAGTTTCCGTAAATGCAATAACTTCAGTCCTAACATACAGTAAGTGGTTCATAACACACCCAGCTTTAAATTCATCGACAGAAATTACTTAATCACTTTAGTTCAGAGTGGCTACATGAATAAGCGGAATATTTTTTATACAAAACAAAAACCAGTATTTCTTCATTAAGATAATCAGAAACAGTACTCAAGTATCTAAATGTCAGTCTCTAAGAATAAGTGACATCGAAAAGGTACTTCGGAGTAAACCAATGCTTTATATATTATCATCTGATAAGTTGGTCACAAAAGCAGTTAACTATCAGCGTTTATCCATAAATAAAAGCATACAGAAAAGACCGAATCAAAGCAAAACTTTGCACAGAAGTACATCAGTTTAATTTTCATGCTTCGACTTAGCACACAAAAGAAGACAGAAAACAATGGTTCTAAAATGGATAAGAGTTTGACTAATCGAAGATTAATGAAAATATTTATAATCATGAATGTAATATGGAGTAAATACATTTGTACTACTGTGAAAGATTTTGAGCCGTGCTATCAAAAGTCTGTAACAGTTATTTCTAAGTATTCCGAGGGCAACAGCACCCCTGTCAAGTCACTCAGACAAACATTTAATCACTTCATGACAGCTCGTCAGTACTTCAGAGCTTAATTCCACCTTACACACCACTTCTCATCGAGGAAGGCCATGGAGAAGATATTCAGTACTGCTCATTTGGAAAATGTATGTTTTTATTTCAGTATTCCTGCTCATATTTAGGCTGTTTGTAGCTGAAAGAAGACTAGAAATGAAATGTGCACATTTTATACCGCATACCTTGTTCTTCTTGCCTTGGAATTATCCTCTACCACAGTGCCCTAGTTCCATTCTTATATCAATAATTCATTGTAGAACTTTCACAGAAGTAAAACAGTTCAGGTTGCGACACCATGTAGAACACAAAGGTAGAGAGAAGAAAGAAAAGGAAATTTAAAAGAACTGTAATGGGTAGAAATAATAGCAACATGGGAAAATATGAGGGTTTAATGGAAACGGGGAAACTCCAGAGTTAATACATCTGAGCCATTTAGAACGACTTAGAGCCATATCACAAATAGTCCCCGGCCAATGATTCTGAGCATCCTGAGGACTCAAACCATGCAGTCTACACCTGCCTATGTGGCTGAAACCAAAAGCCGAAGGCTTCATGGATTGAGGACAAGTTTTGGTTTAACTACTCCCAACACTTTTCCAGCCTAATTCCATGTTAGTGAATATCGGTCGCCGATGAAGATGGCGCGACATGAATACACGTGTCCTATTCATCTCACAGAATAACTTGCCTTACTTAGTTAACACTCCATGTCTAACCTTAATATTACTCACTATAATATATAACAATACGGGGGACAACACAAACATCTGTGGTCAAAGACAGCTAGTTTTTCATATCTTAGGTTTTAGATGTATATTATAGTTCTAAGACAGGTAGACAAGACCCAAGTGTAGTTATTTACTTAAATTTAACTGACCAGTTTGTAGAATTAAAAAAATTCAACCTACGGCCATCAAAAGATTCAATGAATGTTTCTCATAAATTTGATTTAAGCATGCTGACTGTTACGTATGCCTAGTCATCGCCTTCCTCGACTGATGGGCAATGTTAGCTGATATAGGGCCAGACTGGAAAAGAGCTAGCGGCGGTCAAACGAAAACATGACACCAGTCAATGAAATCCACAACAATTAGTCTAAGCCACGTAGGAAGGTGTAGACTTCCTGGTTGGGGTCCTCGGGACGGTAAAAACCAATTGTTGGAAACAACTGGTGACATGGCTCAAAATCGTTGTCAGTGGCGCAGATGCATCCACTTCTTGTGACTTATGATTTCCAATGAAACTGTTTTGTTCTTCGTTATTACCATTCCTTTGTCTCACACCTCTGTTTACTGTCTCTAATATGCACTTCTCCTACTTTCTTGTCTTGCTTTGTGTGCTACATGGAGTGTGGCAAATTGAACTGCCGCACATATGTGCAATGTTCTATGTCGAAAACCGACCGGCCGACTGATGCTGACTGGCTGGTTTCAACATAGTAATTTGCACTGATGTGCAGCAGTTCGAGTCGCCACACTCCATGTAGCACACAAAGCAGGAGAAGAAAATAAAAAGAACTGCGGAATAGAGACAGAAAACAGAGATATAAGGCATAAGGAATTGCAATGTCGAAGAACAATGTAGTTTTATTGGGTATTATAAGTCACAAGGAGTGGATGCATCTGTGCCATTGAGAACGATTTAAGCATAGTAATGGGCTGGATTGCAGGAAACTACTAAAGTGTATTCCTGTGGATAGTTATGTGCCATCCAGGTGTAATAGAACCTTAAGATAAATGGAAAACCATGACACCCGATTAGTTCTTACAATCTTTCAACGCAACAACTGACAGCAGTTCGGAGAAGTAATGTATGAATTTAGTCAGAAACTGTCCATTTTTCTGCCAGAAGCAAAACAATGAATTACAATGACGAAGTAGGTAAGTTAGAACAAACGCAAAAGTAAATTTTGGATATACGTGGATTCAAATGCCAACAAATCAACAATGCTGATTGTCTCATATAACTTTGTTCCTGGACAGCACCAATTTTAAACATAAGGACAGACACTATATCAGACACCAAGCCAAACGAAGACACAAACAGGCCACCTAGCCACCATGCCTTCTGTGAGTCGGTGGCACAGCGGTTAGGACTCTTGCCGACCATGCATATGGTCCGGGGTTCGATCTCCTGCCGACGCACACTTGATATCAATGGTCGGCCTGCAAAATTTGGGCTACCGATATCACATGCTGAAAATTCCATACTTGTACCAAAAATACAGTGTGAAATCAACCTATTATCAAATAAAGTGCTGTGGATTCTGATTATGTATTAATTCGTCCACACGTGCACCTGATACTGGACGGACGTGGAAAACACAGTATTGAAAATTCTGGGCCCTGTATTTTTTGAGGGACAGTGGGACTTAGAGAAACAAAATAGGCGGGCTTCAGTCCCCACCGAGGATTAAGTGATCATACCTCCACCCTTCGAAAGGTTCTAAAACACAGGCATGCATTACGACGTTCAGTGGTCACCAAATTTTTCGACCAGAAGGGATCTTCTGACTCAATTGATCGAGAGGAGCTGTGGAAATGTCTGACTGTGAAAGGAGTTTAGACAAAGCAAATTATTCTACTCAAGGCACTCTACTTGTACTTGTATGGCCGCGTGGATCCGTGGATCGAGAGGTTCTATGGCAATGTTTGACTATGAAGGGAGTGCCAAGAAAGTACATTGCACTAATCAAGGCACTCTACTCAAACTCACGTAGCTGTGTAAGGGCTTGTGGGGAATTGTCATCTGAATTGATAACAACCAGTGGTGTCCGTCAAGGATGTCCACTTTCCTCTTTCCTGTTTAACTTCATCATAGATATGCTAATGGAAGTATCCTTAACTGAACATAATGACTCAGGAATCGACTTGTTACCAGGGAATAGTCTTATAGACTTAGAATACGCAGACGACATAGTCCTGTTAGGAGAGGACGCTGACAAAATGCAGAGTCTTCGGAACACCTTGAGCAGCAATCTTCCTATGTTTGGCATGCGATTCGCCCCTGTGAAATGTAAGATGCTGCTACAGGACTGGACTACGTCAACTCCAAGCTTAGTGATAGGGAGTGAAGTGATAGAACATGTTGGCCAATTCACCTATTTAGGAAGTTGTATCAGCACCAACGGATTGATTGGTGACGAAATCACAGCACGGATCCAGAAAGCTAGGGCTGCTTTCGCTAACTTACACCGTCTCTGGCGTAGGCGTGACATCCGGCTGTCAACCAAGGGACGTGTATACTGCTCAGCAGTTCGCTACGTCCTTCTCTATGGCGGTGAGACGTGGCCATTGAGAGCGGAAGACATGAAGAGATTGTCTGTTTTTGACCACAGATGTTTACGATCTCTTTCTCGCGTTAGGTGGTATAATAAGGTAAGTAATGTTGACGTTAGGCGTAGAGTGTTGGGCAAAGAGGGAAAATCACTCGAAGAGGCTATAAAGTTACATAGATTGAGATGGTTAGGCCACGTGCTGCGCATGCCTAACCATCGTCTCCCCCGACGGGCATTACTAGCTGATATAGGTGCAGGTTGGAAAAGAGTAAGTGGTGGCCAAACAAAAACATGGCATCAGTCCATGAAATCCTTGACAGTTAAACTGAGTCAGGTAGGGAGATGCAGACTTCCGGGTTGGGGCCCTCGGGACTCTAAGAATCAATGGCTGGAGACAATAGGTGACATGGCTCAAAATCGTTGTCAATGGCGAAGATGTATTCAGTCTCTTTAACCTTCATACTCCTTTCTACCATTACTCATTCTGTTTCACTCATACTTATCTAAATTCTATTGATTCTCTTCTCTCATTTTCTTGTCTACCTTTGTGTGCTATTTGGAACGTGGCAACTCGAACTGCTGCACTTCGGTGCTAAGTTCTATGTTGAATCCAGACAGACAGACAGTATGGCCGCCTAAGAGCTATTGGAGAGTTTTTAACTGACGTGAAGAAAACCAGTGATGTTCGCGCCATCATTCTTACTTAAGTCCATTACAGATTTACGAATAGATGTGACCCTGGCCGATTTCGAAGTAACAGTGATGGA